GCTGCCAGCCTGGTCCCGGGAAGAGGGGGAGGGATGGGGGGCATTGGGCGGCTGGCTCGAGCTGTGCCAGGTGCAGGGTCTGCTAGCTGGGTGTTGGCAGGCTTGCACCTGGCACGGGCACCGTAGCCAGCCCGTGCTCCTTTAAGGGGTCTGGGGCCGGGAGGGGGGCAGACGAGTTTCCCTGGTGTTGGCCAGAGTGGCCACCAGGGAAACCTGGGGAGGGCTAGCCTCTCACTAGTTCGAATTAAGGGTCTACACAGCCCTTAATTTGAACTAGTAAATTCGAACTAGGCTTAATCCTCCTGGAATGAGGATTACCTAGTTAGAACTAAGCGCTCCGTTAGTTCGAATTAAATTCAAACTAACGGAGCGCTAGTGTAGCGCCTATGAAAGTTAGTTCGAACTAACGTCCGTTAGTTCGAACTAACTTTGTAGTGTAGACATACCCAGAGAGACTTAACTACTGTCTTATTTATTGCAAGCTTTAAACAGTTAATATAGTTGTTTACGTTTTACAAGCCTTAAAAACAATTACTAAATAATTTAAACATTAAATACTATACATTCTAAAACAATTAGTACAGCACAAAACAATACAAAACCAGTTAATAGAAGATTTAGTATAACCAAGTATTTAAGCCTACTTCACTTACACTTCATCCATATGCTACCTACAGTACTAGACAGCAAGTTCATGGTCCCTTTGATTTCCACGCATTGGGACACCATGCACTGCCGTGGCCAGTGTGAAGGGCCTATTTACCTCTAGTTACAACGAGCAGGATCTGTGGGTCAATCCTGCTCACTACCTCCCACCTCTCAAAGCTGCCCCCCCAGCCTTGCCTGCATGCTTACATGCACCCGACTTGTATAGCTAACTATGATTTTTTCCTGCCAAAGTTTAGTTTTTCTGTCATCATTGTTATAAATCCTGTTCTCACCTGGATTTCTTGCTAAAATACAGCAGATACAGGAGAAATAGGGTTAGGGTCTTTCAGCAATATTGTGACATCTAACGATTGGTAAAGATAAATCCAGGTGGTTTGGGCATGTTCTGGTTTGTGTTTATGGAGCGTTAACAAATCTATGATTAACTCATTTTTTTAAAGTGTAACACCTCTATTTCATTCCGAAATGGGACATTTCTTTGTCTATTTAAATGACAACTAACCCCAAAATGTGTAAGTGCTATTGAAAAGATGTCATGTTCATCTTTTCTTTAATTGTTAATAATGCCCATAGAATAACATCTAGAGAGTAGCTATTGTAGTATCATAGAATTATATTCACATATCTCTTTTCTCCCTCTTTTTATTATATTAGGTACTAAGGCAGCCACAGAGTATGCAAATGGCATATATGGCATCGTGTCACCTGCTCCATCAGTTTATTTGGGCACATTCCAAATTTTGCATCTGCTAGAAGACCTGAAGATGGCACTAGAAATGCTAGAGGATCCACAAGAGAAAGAAGCGTTACGGAATCAGATACCAGGGAATACAGCAACATGTATTCGGGAGTGGCTGGAGAAAAACTTGGTGAGTCATCATGGACAACTTTTCCATCTGGTTGTGGAATAATATTGACTCCTGTATCTCATGGTTCAGTTGTTTTATTCCTGGAATCCAACTAACAGCGATCTACTTCTGTTTTAGCCCTTAGAACACTTAGTGTACTCAAGCTGTCTATATTAGGCTAGCAAAGGGATGCTGTGGAGAGTGAGGGCACCACAATGTAGAAAGCCTGGAGCATACAAGATCCCTTTAATGTCTTCCACATTAGCTGCCTACGAAGCACGTACCACTGCATATAGTCAGATTCTGAATGCGGGACTAGAGATTAAAGGAAGTTTTTCTTCACTCAGCACACAGTCAACCTATGGAACTCCTTGGCAGAGGATGCAGTGAAGGCTAGAACTTCAACAGGGTTAATAAAAGAGCTAGATAGATTCATGGAGGTTAGGTCCATCAATGGCTAGTAGCCAGGATGGGTAAGAATGATGTCCCTAGCCTCTGTTTCTCTGGAGGTGGGTGACGGGGGAGGGATCACATGAGGATTACCTTTTATGATCCCTCCCTCTGGGGCATCTGGTATTGGCCACTGTTGGCAGACAGGACACTGAGCTAGATGGACCTTTGTTCTGACCCAGAGTGGATGTTCTTATGTCCTTATGTTCTTATGAAAGGTTCTGTATCCAGTTACAACCTTTCTGATTCAATTGCTTTTCTCCAGGGAGGCATGGAGGCAGAGGAAGCACTTTTAAACTTTCCACCACTTCCTTCTCTCTCTCCTGCTCCCCCCACCATAAAATGAAACCTCCCCACCTTCCAACCCCAGCTATGCAAAGGTCCGTAACTAAATAAGAACAGAGAATCAACTATTTTCTCTTTAGCAAAATCCATAACCAGAATTCACCTTAGATTTTGCAGGGGTTCTTATTTCTGAGTCGCTTAACCCTATTATGACTATTTCCGATCTTTTTGAACTAAAGTGACCAAGCGCTCACTACAGCATTATTATTTATTTGTATTGCAGCAACACCTATAAGTGTCAGCCCCATTGTGCACAAAGATAACAAAAAAAATTCCTGCCTTGAAGAGCTTACAATTAGTGGAACAATACCATGTTTGCCATTGATACTCCCAGTGGCTACAAAATTTACTAAAATAGACAGGGCCATGGAATTCTCCCCCTCCAGGTCCTTATTGAAGTACATTGGGAGGGTGATGAAGGGGAAACTTTAATAACTATCGCCTATGCTATAACTATTCTATGAATAAATAGAACTACCTGTCACAAAGCACTAAATCCACTCATTTTTTAATCTAAGCCAATTGTAGCTTCAGCCTCTTTGGGAGTGTCTGCTATACATGTAAGTATGTAGAATGCATGGAACTTAGTTTTTTTATAGAGTGCAAATCCAAAATAGGAACATAACTACTAAAATTTATGCCCATCATTGCTTACCTGCATTCTGTCAGTGTCTACTTTAACCCTTTGCTATGAAAAAGATTAGTTGTGATTTGGTTGTTCATGTAGAGATGAATTTGACTCAGAACCTATTGGAGTTATTGGAAAGGCTCTAAAAACAGACTGATTGCAGTAGTAAAAGTAGTGAGACCACAAGCTCATACCACCTGCTCTTGCTCAGTCTGTGATCTCGGAACTTCAAGGTTCCTGAGGCTGCAGAAAGACGACGTGAAGTCATGCTTCTGAAGTTGCTGACATTTCTGCAATTTTAAAATATATCCCAAAGGTAATAACATAAATGGTTGTGGTATAATTTGTTGTGGTTCCTTTTGTATGAAATGGCTGAACACATTACAGAAAGAAATACTCCTGAGAACTCAGATGCACAAAACATTCTTGAAATGACAGCCCCAAAAGCTGTGTCAGAGAGGTTCTCAATGAGAGATGCAATGGACAGGAGTGCAGACCAGCACCTGGTGACTAAGGGGTTAAAATCAGGTAGCTAGCAAGGGTGTTGGCCAGAGGGCTGAGAGAACCAATCAAAATGGAAGGCTGGAATTTGAATTGTATAAGGTTCCTTGCCTACTTTCTTTGTGAGGAAGAGTTAAATCAGGAGTGGAGAGAATGATTTAAACCCAGACAGGACTACCATGCCTCCAAGGAATTCGGGGCATGGAAGTGGACTGAACCAAGAAAAGATTGGAGGTAAGCAGAGGGGGAAGAGTGAATCTAGTCACGATCAGGATATTGTCTTTATTTTGTGGTTTGGTTTGAACTGCCCTATGTGGGTCTATGTCTTCCCTCCCCATTTATCATCTAGCATTCTGCCCAGAGACTTTTCTCTGTGTTTTAATTTGTTTTCCTTAGATGCTCTGTAACATCTAGCAACCAGGTATGCTTTATTGACTTTTTCTTTTGTTTTGTAATAAAAATCACTTTTTAAGGTGATTATTGGATTATTGTGTCCTAGAAGGTACAGGAAGTCTGTCTGTCTGTCTCAGACTGAGAGGTCAGCTACCAGAGACTGCAGCTTTTTTCTTTTATTTTTCCAAGCGCTTTTAGAGTGAAAGAGATTGGGATACCCCTGGATGTGGGTTCAAGTGTTCACCCCCAGTTTTTAGGGATAAAAATCACTTGATGGTGGCAATGACACCCCCCCCCCCCAAAAAAAAAATCTAAGTATTGTGATTCTAGGGGGAAGTTTTTGGTAAGCAGCACCTGTAGAGGCAAGATTTTTATGCTCTCTTTTGGGTCCTCACCTTCTGCACTTGGAGTGCCAGACTGGGGGAACAGCTCTGACAAAGAAAACGGATGGAAACGAGCTGTAGCTAGTCCTGCCTGGCTTTTTTATTAGACTTCAAATTTTAGCCTTGCTAGTACTTTGATTCAAATATTGTGGGGCAAATGTACCCTTCTTTGACATGGTGGTAAATCAGAATTTCATGGGAAATGTATTGGGTGTATTAAATGTAGGCAGCTCATTAAGTAGGGCTTAACAATCTCTGTAATTTAGAACAGGACTATTGTTTTGACAAGGCTAATATTGAATACATCTGTGTTAACTGAATAGCCGTAATTACTTAAGAACTGTATAGAGATTCTTTGCCTATGGGTGAACAAGTTTGTGTTGTTTAGAAATGCTTTGCATTTGGAAATATTGATGCTATCTGACACGATGCAAAATTAAGATTATTATGGGCAGCTGGCTGTAAAAAGACTTTGGATATAGTACCACAGTTAGGGTATGTCTACACTAGAAAGTTAGTTCGAACTAGCGTTTTGCTAGTTCGAACTAGGCGTTAGTCCTCGTAAAATGAGGTTTTCCTAGTTCGAACTAAGCGCTCCGCTAGTTCGAATTTGAATCGAACTAGCGGAGCGCTTAGTTCGAACTAGCGTTTTGCTAGTTCGAACTAGGCGTTAGTCCTCGTAAAATGAGGTTTTCCTAGTTCGAACTAAGCGCTCCGCTAGTTCGAATTTGAATCGAACTAGCGGAGCGCTTAGTTCGAACTAGCGTTTTGCTAGTTCGAACTAGGCGTTAGTCCTCGTAAAATGAGGTTTTCCTAGTTCGAACTAAGCGCTCCGCTAGTTCGAATTTGAATCGAACTAGCGGAGCGCTTAGTTCGAACTAGCGTTTTGCTAGTTCGAACTAGGCGTTAGTCCTCGTAAAATGAGGTTTTCCTAGTTCGAACTAAGCGCTCCGCTAGTTCGAATTTGAATCGAACTAGCGGAGCGCTTAGTTCGAACTAGCGTTTTGCTAGTTCGAACTAGGCGTTAGTCCTCGTAAAATGAGGTTTTCCTAGTTCGAACTAAGCGCTCCGCTAGTTCGAATTTGAATCGAACTAGCGGAGCGCTTAGTTCGAACTAGCGTTTTGCTAGTTCGAACTAGGCGTTAGTCCTCGTAAAATGAGGTTTTCCTAGTTCGAACTAAGCGCTCCGCTAGTTCGAATTTGAATCGAACTAGCGGAGCGCTTAGTTCGAACTAGCGCTGTAGTGTAGACGTACCCTCATTTGCTAAATATTTCAGTAGTGCAAGGACTGACTGATGTATCACAAAGCAGATAGTAATTTCAACATTAAAAATTAACCACTGACTCTGCTTGGCTTGGTCAGGTAAATTATAAATATTTAGTTACCATTTCATTTTGCTAACTCCAAATCTTGTACTGACAATGCTTTTTTTGTGTGTGTTAGGCTCTGCAAAGATGCATTTCTCCCCTAAGAATGTTTGGCTCCACTTCACCTGAAAATAATTCTAACATGATTTTTAACATGAGTGACAATCTAGTTTCATAGATTGTAAAAATGTCTGTAGTTATTTTAAGCCACTTCACCATGGAGCATTGTACATTGGTCAACAGACAGCTGCTGATTCTTAAAAACATGACAATATTTTCCTGACCATTCTCACTTTGACAAATGTAACTCTGGCAGACTTGATAAATCTATTTGCCAGATGGCGAGGGAAAAAGAGGAATAGAAAAATCTGAAATACTAGAAATATTTTATTTAATCTTTTCTTGATCTGTACCAAGTAACTATCCTGTTACTCTGAGTGCTTTCACACTAATCAAAATATCCCATTCAACAGATTAAATGGAATATCATGTCCATAAATTCTTAGCTAGTATCTACCAACAAGAGCTCTTTAATGAGGGTCCATTCAATGCCTAAAGTCAGAGGAGTCTTTCCATTCACTTCATTGAAGTCCCCTTGGCCCCAGTTCAGCAAAACAATAAAAAACATGATTAAGTTTGTGAAAGAGTTTGTGAACTATTCACTTCAAGATTTAAAATTCAACATGTGCTTAAATGCTTTGCCGCATTGGGGCTTTTGGTCTGAAGGCCCTCTGCTTTCCACTTCTCTGAATGGCACGTTTTAGAATTCTTAGCCTATAACTTTGTGATATTACTACTTCACAGAGCACCTGGAGATATTTGGGTGAGTGTCACTGCATAGGTGGAAAGTATTAATATTGTCCACTAGTATTAGATCATGTTTATTTGTACAGACATTTAAGGGACATCATAAGGTCAAATTGACCCTAAATATGGATTTTGTATAACATAGC